TCCTTTTAATGTGTTGTTGAATTTGGTTTGCTAATATTTTGTTGAGGATTTTTGCAACTGTGCTCATCAGGGATATTGGCTTGTAAACAGTTTTCTTTTCTTGTAATGTCCTTGTCTGGCTTTGGTTTCAGGGTGATGCTGGCCTTGTAAAATGAGTATGAAAGTGTTTCCTCCTCTTCTATTTTTTGGAAGAGTTGGAGAAGGATTGCTATTAATTCTTCTTTAATATTTGGTAGAATTCACCAGTGAAGCCATCTGGACCTCGACTTTTCTTTGTTGGGAGGTTTTTGATTACTCCTGCTTTCTTTTGGTTTGCATTTGCATGGAATTTTTAGGCATTTTGAAGGTTTGAGTCCCAGCTGTGTGAACTTGGGCAAGTTACTTAACCTCTCTAAGCCACGGTTTCCTCATCTGGGAAATTGAGGGTAATAATATCTGCCTGAAAGGAGTTTTGAGAAGAATAAATGAGATTAAGCATGTAAAATATTTAGTACAGTGCCAGGCATGTAGTTAACACTTGGTAAGTGTTAACAATGGTTGTTATTTGTCTTGAAAATTTCAGGCCACTCCAGACTTGTTAGAATTAATATTTTAGCACTCCTGGCCTTCTCTGGCTTTCAACACCTGGTAAAGAACATTGACACTGAAGCCAGATTGCTGTGCCACCTATCATGTGATCTTGGGCAAGTGATTTAACCTTTTGTACCAGTTTCCTCATCTGTAGAAAGGGGATAATAATAGTACCTACTTCATGATGTTGTTGAGATTAACAAGATAATATCTGCTAAGTGTTAAGAACAGTGCTGGCTACATAGTAGCTGCTATGCAAACATTTGTCAAGCAAATAAAAATGAGTTTCTTCTGCGTTGTTGTTGATTTTCTTCTGGAGTCATGATATCCTATCCTCTCCTGCACTGGTTCTGGCAGGGAGCAAACTCCTCAGGGTCTGCAGCAGTTAAGGGTTAGATCAATATCTTAAATGAAACTGAATCTTTATTTGCCTTAAAGCAGCATCTCTATGAAAGGTGATGATGCCAGAGAATAGGGTAGGTGGCTGCCTGCCTGGAATCATATAGGAGCAAACTTTTCCTTAGTTCCAGGGAAGCAGATTCAATGTCCTTGCAGCCTGAGTCTGCCTTGTTGTTTGTACTTCTAATTTTCTCATCAACTGCAGGTGGCTTGTTTTTCTAACTTAACTGGCCCCTCCTGACTGAGCAAGGAGCATTGAGTTTGTGTGTGCTTAATGTGAAGTTGACACATTCTTGTCTTAACCTTTCTGGCTAAATTAGGAAATGGAGGATTAGTTTGTAAACCCTGGAAATTAAAGCCAGTTTGGCATGCTGGGAAGACAAGAGCAAGTGTTGGGGAAGGATCAGTAAGGGTTCTGCTGTTGCTAATGGTATTGCTTTTATTCATAACATAACTATGAGTTACACAGTAGCGCTTCTCTGACACTTGTCAGACTCACCCAGTTTCCTAAAGACCTGGACATTTCATTATCCTCGGATTCAGTTTGGAGAAACTTTTTTTTTTTTCTGTCCCAAGTCTTCAGCTCAGACAGACCTTTCTGCTGGACTCTTATTATTATTGCCATCTAAACTGATTACCTTGGAAACTCAACATGAGGACTCCTTAAATGAAAGTTACATTTGAGTGCTTGGAAGAAGCTCAAAGTCATCTTTAAAATGTGCCTGCCTTCACCACTTTGTGAAGGTGTGTCCATAAAAGGAAGCACCTGTGCGATGATGGAGTTTTCTCCTGCTACTACCCTCCTGGGACCAGTCTATTCATTTCAGTCAGTCTTATCCTCACCTTGGGAAACAGACCTTTCTACAGGGCCTGGACAAGATAAAGCAGAGCCTGGCTAGTACCAGATCTCCAAACTCCTTATTTCTTCCCCTGGCAGCCTACCCTTTGACTCTGAAATACCCAGATGATGCAACCCTGCTTTGCATTCCCTCAAATGCCCTCAAGTGAGGAAAGAGAATGTGACATCCTCGCAACCCTGCTGATAGCTTTCCTGAGTCATAGGGGAACTGCAGCTACCAGCGCCTCCAGTCTGTCAGGCAAAGGCAGCTTCTCTGAGGGAAAATGGCGTAGGGTGGGTGGGAGTGGGGCTGGGATCCAAACACTGCTGCTTAGGAGTTTAGTTGATTCTGCATTTAGTTTCGGGTTTCCTTTGCCTCCATCTTTCGAATAAACAGCACTTTTATGGAGTAAGCGTCTCTCTAGGTAATATCCCGGTTCTGCTCTCATGAGGCCAGAGATCCCCAGCCAGGCTGGCGACGCCTTCTAGAAATCAGTGGAACTTCTCTAGACGAGGCCACTGCTTTCTCCTTTTCTCCAACCAGAATATCAAAAGGGATATTGATTTTATCTTGGCTTTGGAGGTTTACTAATAACTCTTCTGAACTTTGTGATATCTTAAAATTGGCAGATAAGGTGAGATTTGTAGATGACACCTCAATTGTCTCCATAATCCTGGAGAGACATCTTCCAAATCACGCATGGCACTGCTTTTTCCTAGTGAGAGAAGAAATGGGACATCAATTGTGTGGTTAGACACTATTGCTTGCTTAGGAGTTTTGTGGCATTATCTAGCCAAGGCAATTGAGAAATGTCCCCAGTCATCTGGGCACATTTGATAGGACATTGACCATCTCCATCCATGGTCAATAATTTCAGACTTAGGTTTTTTTGTGGTTGTTAGTGCCATCGAGTGGATTCCAACTCCTAGCGACTGTGTGTACTGCAGGGCGGAACCCTGCCAGGTCTTTTTGCGCCATCCTCTCACCTTCTGGGGCTGTATCAGATAATGCTCTGCTGCTATTCGTAGGGTTTTCATGACCAATTTTTTCAGAAGTGGGTGGCCAGGTCCTCCTTCCTAATCTGTCTTGATCTGGAAGCTCCACTGAAACCTGTCTACCATGGGTGACCCTGCTGTTACTTGAAATGCCGGTGGCATAGCTTTCAGCATCACAGCAACACGCAGCCACCACTGTATGACAACCGACAGACAGGTGGTGTGGTTCTCTAACCAGGAAATGAACCGAGGCCTTGGTGGTGAGAGCACTGAATCTTAACCTCTAGACCACCAGGGCTGGCTATACCCTTAGGTGCAGTCACCTAATTCAATATATACAGATGAATATATTTTTCCCAAAGCTAATTTAACAGGCCTACTTCTAGTTGTTTATATTATATAGCTTTCACTTAAAAAGTATAAGATTGCAGGGGAGGGAGGCACATTTCCTAGCATAGGAGGTATGTAGGGCCCCATGTAGGGCCCAGAACAAAGTCTACTTCCAGCAGGTAGGGACAGTTATATGACATTTATGGGCCAAGATAGCAAAAGTGAACTTCATGTTATCCTCTAATTTCAGGACATATGAAGAGGGGCTACATGAATGTGCATCTCAGCCTCACTCACACAGCCCGAGCTTCTGAAACCGCTCTCATGGCTCGGACCACAGAAAAAAGATTGTGCACACTTGTTTTTGCTTAGTTCCCACATGATACTTTTCAGGAGAAAACATTCTAAGTCTTATACTATTTAAATGAAAGTGTCCCATTTTCAGACAGGGGTTTCTCCTTTATAGAATGGGAGTTGTTTATGAAGTCTCACTAGGTTGGATTTACCATTTGCTCTAATAACCCAGCTAACACCAAGTGATGAGAGCTTACAATCCTTAATTATGTCAGTTACAAGGGTCCTAAAACACTCAAATAGTGATTGCAGTTGCATCTCTATGGAGCACCCATGTAAATGGGAGGTGAGGGTGCAGGGTTTTTTGGGAGGAGGAGAGGCATTAGCATTTTTTATTAAACATATTATATGGCAAGGTCTCTGCTAAATGCATCACATATACTTTCTCATTTAATACTTAAAGCAGCCTCACAAGGCAAGATTTGTTATTCCTATTTCATAGAAGGGGAAACCAAGGCTTAGATTAATGGCAAGAGTCACAAATCTGATAGAGATCAGAGATGTATGCCCACTCACTGTGCTCTGTGGTCCCTTGCTGGGCATTTAGGGAATAGAGAATATCAATCCTGTTGCACAGAACTTTCTAGCATTCTTCCAAGGCTCTGCATGACCGTTTCTTCTTTCTGTTCCAGGAAGGAAGATTCTTAAACACCTGCAAAGCCAACACTGTTGCTGGCCCACTGCATGATTATAAACCAAACACAGTCTTCTCATGCTATTCTAAGAATGGGATGTGTTTTTAATCAATGGCGTTGTACCCAGTGGGGTCACAAAGATTTGTTGAAAAATAAAGTCATTCACTAGAGCTGAAAACACTATTCCTCTGTACATGAGTATACTTGGGGCAAGATCAAAATCATATGGAGGCCCTACTCAGATGCACTAACTCTTCCAAACAAATCTCTCTTTCTAAGGTGTGAGGTGGGGTAGTCTATCATGTTGCCAAAAGAGGAAACTATCCTGAATTAGTATGGCCAGGTGGTGATAAGCATTTTTATGAGATACTATCCTCTCTCAGGGGGGCATAGGGAGCTGTCCATTCCTTTGTTGTCTATCACAGAGTATGAGTCCACCAGCAGAACTCCATCATGACTCAGGTTCCAGGCAGGACTGTGCCATCCCTTTCAAGAGCTGACTACAGCCATTCAAGTTTGTAGTCACATTTCAGAGGGTAGGATTGGTCCTTCACTGAAACCAAGTCACCATCATATTGAGATAAGACTATCTCCCATTATTGTAATGTCTAACCAAATTCTACCTTCCCTTTCATCTCAGTCATAAAATATGGGCAAACTGTTCATAATGGTACTGTATTTCAGCCTTATAATCCCCACTGATTAACATGACAAATCAGATTAGTTTTCTTCAAGCTCTGCTTTTTCATTCTTGGGTGTAAACACAGTTTTCAAAATGATAATCCATGTACAATCTGAATCCACTGACCACGTCTCCACCTTCCCACACCCATCCAAGTGAGATAAAAGAAGAGATAAAGGAAGAAGAAGGCGGGGAAGAAAGAATGCCGGAAATGTTTATTGAGACTGCAATGCAGGAACATTGTTCTCTTTTATGAGTTAATAGCACAGTGTGTTAACAGGTGGTTACAAACTCACGCCAAAATAAGGATGACCTGCAGTTCATGAACAGCTCTGCCAACTCTCGTGCCTCATATCAGAGCAACTGGCTAAGGGGGTAGAACCATTCAGCCCAAGATAAATTACTGATTCACTTGAATTTATATTTATATTTCCGTCCCATAAACAACACCAATATTTGCATTTTAAACCTCACATTGAATCACTGGTCCATATTTATGATGTTTACATGACAATTCAGTATGATTCTCTTGTAGATCTCAGGTGCAGGTGGTCAATATTGGGCATTTATTTACTTTCCATGATCTTTGGCACAATCTCTGGTTTCTTAAATATAAAAGCACAGGCTTAAATTGGCTACTCAATACTGCAGAAACACAACTATTTTGGATCTCAGTGTAAATACAAGTTTATGTTAAGGATTATTTACAAGATGAGAGCCAAAGCATAGACTTTAATAAGCTATCTATCTTCATAAATAAGCAGAATGACAGGCAATGGATTTTAATGAGCAGGGCCAAGAGTACTAGACTACTAGTTAGAACTATCCTCCCTGGAGGAGGAAACAAGTTTCATACAATGGAAGAATTTCCCTGAACCACTGATACCAATGTCTCATGTCGTGGGATTTACTCTGCAAGAGTCCAGGGTAGGGATAGTGCTTTCTGGCCAAAGTGGCTTGTTCAACCCATCAAACCCATATTAAAATACAACTTAGCTGGTAGCTTGCCACTGTTGTTTGGGCCCTGATGGGTGCAAAAGACCAAAGTACTGTCATTTGTAAGTGCGTATAAATAACCTTGGAAGAATGAAGCCTTCCAGTTGGATAAAAACACATCCAGCCTTATGTGAGTGAGTGACACTTTGTACATAAAATCTTATATAGAGCTGATATGTATTCCCTTCCAGCAGTAGAATCTGGAAGTTGTAAATGAATGGCTGTGCCACCTTGGCGTATCACCATAGTATGTCTCTGCTTTGGGGTTGATATACAGATGTGAAAAGATTGAACAACATGATTTCTCACTCTAGTGCTCCTGAGAGAGGAGTTCTGACAAGCCCCAAAGCAGATCTGGATCAAAATTATAGTTATTATTCAAGTAGAAGGAGAGTTCTTTATCTCACATTGACAGTTCAATTCTGATCTCTGTCTGGAAAATTATATGAAAATAATAAATATATACATATATATATATACCTAGCTCTATACTGAACACTAGATTAATAGTTAACAGTGTCCCTATACAGTACATTGAAAAACGAACCCTCCTCCCTTCCCCCAAAACCCCACACCCATCTTAAAACTGTTATTGCAGAACCGTGCTGGTCTGTTTTCTTTCAACGCAGTTTCTTTGAAATTGGCTAGAGATGAGTTCAAAATGGACAACTTGGCACATTAACTGGTGGGGTGGGCTGTTTAGATGCATTATAATCTATAAAAATGTGAGAGGTCAAAGGAAATCCATGCCAATAGAAAGCCTGAGTAAAAATTTGTATTGACTGACAGAATATTTTTTAAAAAACCCAAAACACTGGTCTGTGCATGAGAAAGCAATATTTCTCTTCCACATCCATTACCTAATTCCAACAGTTACTACTTTATATACTTCCAAACTTTGTCTCTCATAGAAATTTAAAATTCTAGATAATACAGCTTTCCTTTTAATCAATTTTCTTTCATCTTATCCCATCCCCAAATCCCAGAACCCGGAGAGCAAAAGCTGTGAATCCAAATATAGAAATAATCTGGAGATCTGTATAGCAAATCAGTGGCCATTAATGTTTTACTTTTCCTTATTTAATGTTTGAAGTTGCTAAGAGATGACTCATGGAGATGTCCTTCCTCATTCCCAGTCATCTGAAGCCAGGGGCTCTAGAACTGTGAGGTCTGGGTGAATGAGATGGTGTCAGACTTGTCCACGGCAAAGCCTCCATTGACATAAGACTTTTTGGTGTCTGAGTCTTCATTATCGAGTATTGTAGATTCCAAGGCAAAGGGGTTCATGATATTGACTTCAGATGAAACATCCATCTGCTCCAGCTCCTTCTTAGAGAGCTTCTCCACGACGCCTGTCCCGAATGCATCACCGAGGACATTCACCACGGTCCTGAACCTGTCCCTGGGGAAGAGAGAGGGTGAGCCAGACATGAGGCCTAGATTTCATTCTCCTTCACCACTAGAGAGAGGAAAGGACCTGAAACATTCAGTTACAAATTAAGCAAATGCAGAAAGTGTTCTCCTCATGGCTGGCCCACCAGAGGCTCCTCTCCTCATAGGCCTGGCACAGAAGGTTGTTTATAAAGGTACAGAATGAGCAAATGGGCTCCTCTGGGTCTATGCTGCTAATAAGTCACAAAGACTCCCCTAAATCCAGTGCCAATCTCCCTAAATCCCTTCCTCTCCTCCCAAAGAAATGTGAAGAGTCTTCACAGATATTTTTGAGGAGCTGAGGGTCAAAATTCAGTAAGTCTTTCACCCCTAACCTGTCTTGTGGGCATTTCTGGGCTCTCTTTTGGCTGAGGTGAGAGAACCTGGATGTTTTGTGGGTAGAGTATGTGCCAAGTCGGGGGGAGAGGGAGAGGGGGAGAGGGAGAGATAGTCAATAGCAGAACCACTGGTCATCATTACGTCTCTCTCAGGATCGACTCAGAAGAAATAAGACGAGAATTAAAAATAAATTGACAAGCTAGTGGGGGGGGGAGAGAGAGAGAGAGAGAGAGGAGGGGAGAGAGAGAGTGTGTGTACGTGTGTATGCATGAGCACGTGTGTCCAAGTGTTCTGTGTGGGTGTCTGGTGTCCTTGTTTCTTTACCACACCTGGCCCCTCTATGAGCAAGCCAGCAGGGATGCCGCAGAGCACAGGGTCAGAAAACACAGGTCAACCTAGGCATGGCTTTCTCCTTGAGGCACCCTCAGCCAGTCTTAACTCCCAGACAGGCTGGAGAAGAGACTGGCAGCAGGAAGATGTGCAGAGAAGGCATACCGGGGAGGGGAGTATCCTTTTCGATACTGGAGCATTGTTGGTAGGAACTGTGTACATGAATATTCTTGTGAATCCACACCTGCAGGGCAGAAAAGGCCAACAGTGCTTATACATGTCCATTCTAGACGCCCTTCTGTTATTTATGACAAGGCCATGGATACCCTGGTATGGACCATCTAGTGTCTTTCTATCCCATGGATCAGAATGGACCTTTGACTTCTCTGGTACATTGGAAGTGAAGGTTACTGGTTCCAGGAAGAACCAGGGAACAGAGAGAAGTGCAAATCCACCATCTCCCCTAGAAAGAAAAGTCAAAGCACTTGCCTCAATAGTACGGTATCTTGGCAAGAAAGGTGCCACCTTAGCTGGGCCCTGTAGAACCAGCTAGCTGCTGAGGGGGCCCCACATGGCACAGCTTTCCAGGTGCAGGAGCTTCTGCCTTGTGGGGCGTGACTATATCTTCAAACCCACACGGGGTGTTTCTGCTTCCCTTTCCACCAGCTCAGCTGCTGCTTGCAAACTACATAGCCCTGTACTCCCCAGTAAGCCCAGGCAGGTTCTGAGTGAAGGCTCAATATGGAGCTCCACTTACCCCTGACGGCCAGAGGACAGAGCCAGACCTAGACGCTGGAAGACCAACGCACAAAATGGGTATCAAGGATAAAGCTGGGAACCAGGCTTATTCTAACTTTAACCCTGAGGGTCACAAAAGGCACGTTCTTACCCAGATGTTTGGTGTGTTCCTTAGCTGTGCACGCGCGCGTGTGTGTGTGTGAGAGAGAGAGAGAGAGAGTGAGTTGTTGGTTGAGGCCTGAATGGTCCAACTCATTCTAACCATAGCAATAAAACTTGCCATCTATTGAGCACATACTGCCTGCGAGACACTGTTGTAGACACTCCTCTCACATTAGCCCACTCAGTCCTTACAGCGACCCAATGAAGTAGACGGAATCTTTCTCATCTCACAGCTAATGCAACTGGAACTCAGACATGTTAAGGAATTTGCTCAAGGTCAAGCAGCCAGTAAGACACTGAACAGGGATTCAGCCCCAAGTTAGTCTTACCCCAAGGCCTTTGCTTGTGCCACTGCCCCTGATGGTAATGAAGATCTTGGGAAGATGGGCTGATTTTGAACCAGGTGGTTCTGAAGCTATGATGCTGATCCAGGGCTGGGAGAGGCTAGGGTGGCCTCTGGGGTTTGGAATGTCTGAGACCTTGCCCAGCTTCTTCACCTTATTATTTTATGTTTATCTTGTCCCACACCCAGCTTCTAACCTTGAGCATTACCAGGTGTAATGAGCTAATGGAGATGACTGGCTTTTTAAAATCACTGCTCAAAGTTATGAGAAGTTAATTTTTAAGCACGTTATCAGATGGCCTGGTCAGAGGGAAATTAAAGCAGCAACAGATGGCTCATTAGGCAATCTGAGGAGAGAAAGATGACAGACCACAGATTCTGCCTGGCTGGGAAGCCTGCCCTCCCATCCGGCTGTGGCAGTGGTTTTATTCCAACTCACAGGAGCCAGTCGACGGCGACGATCAGGGTGACATCCTCAGCAGGCAGGCCCACGGCACTCAGCACCATCACCATGGTCACCAGGCCAGCCTGGGGCACACCAGCAGCTCCGATGCTGGCAGCTGTGGCCATGATACTGTAGTCAAAACAAACCAGCACAAAAGGAGTTAAAACACCCATTACTCTCTTCAAGGCCCCTGGCCCAAAACAGTTAATCCTGATGCCTGTTATTGCTGTGTCCCCACATTGGCCAATCACAATCTGTTGTCTGCTGAGCACTAGCTCTGCCTCATTAGAGAGCAGTGGGAGCCTGAGGGAGTATGATCTCCTTCTAGGGGGAGATATGGCCAATCATTCTAACGCAGGGAAGTGGAGAAGAACTGAATGAGGGGTACACAAAAAACGAGCAAGAGATATTCAAGAGGGAGGCAACAGTTTACCAACTGGGGTATTTATGGAAGGCTTTATCTGCCCATCTATGCATCCACCCATCCTAAACAAGTGCCAAGTGCCTCTCTACCTACTTCCTTCCTCCCTTCTTCCATCTACTCACCCACCCAATCATTTATTGACTATCTAAAATGTGCCAGGAATTTATATTGCCTTGAAGGATGGTAGGGGGACAGCGGGAGGGGTGAACGGGCAAGGGTATTTCAGGTGAAGGCAAAGGAATGAGGCAATAGTCAAGCAGGTTTTACACACTTTCTTGACATGACAAGACTCGACCTCTCGGGTATCTGTGCTTTAGGGCACTGAATTGAGAAATAGCTATTACTCCTGTCCAAGGTACAAGCGTTTAATCCTGACTTTTTTTTTTTTTTTTTGCCAGTGGATGCACTTTGTGCAAAAGGAAGAGAGATCTGGAATGCAGGAGAGGCAGCCAAATGAACTTCATTACTATGTATTTAAAAAGATCCCTCTTGGGCAGGAAAAATGTGGCACTAGAGATTTTTCTGTTTGGAAATGTGCAGTTTTTCATCAGCAACATCTTCCTTATTTAAATCTGGTCATTTTAGAGGAAACAAAGGTTTAATAGGCCCCAAAAAGTCCCTGGATTTGAATGAAGTTGAGGGGATATCCACCATACTTTTTAGACACGTGTTTTTATCCTTGGGCCAAGGATGCCACTGGGTTGAAAGGTGAAGATGTAGAAACTGTGAATTTAAACTAGAAGAATCCCTGATTCTATCCACAAATCCATATTCTTGTGGGCTCAAAATGCCTCAGAGTTCTTACTAAGCTGATTCCACTACTCATTCATCTGTCTAGTAATGTGTTACAGATGGCATTTGAGGGGTGATGGTCAAACACAGGCCAGAGTTCTATGACAAGTGTGTTTTCCTTCAGTGGTTGTGGCCACCAATTTACAGTAAATTAGAGATTTCTGAGCCGTCCCAATTCCTCTAAAAGTTTCAAGCCTCCATAATCCTTTAGATCTGTTCTGATTTAAGTACTCTTTGAAAAAATCTAAGTTTATTTCAATGCTGGTTGAAAAAGTTTAAACTGCAAGCATCAGTGGGCTTTCTTTGTCAGAAGTGATTTGTGCCCATACCCACTGATCTCGCTTGGAAGCCCCCACAGGTCATGGTTAACATAGCCTGAGACGGGGCTTGAAACTCAGAATCCATTTAGCCAAAGAAAACTCTGTCTTTGACCCTCAACCTTGCTTACTAAACTTCAGCCATCTGAGTGGCTTTGGTCTGAAACTCAGAACTATAAATCTTCAGATGGGGGAGAAAAATATAAAAACCTATTCCTTTTGCTTAAATATATTCTACTTTGACTTTAGAGGGTTTTCACAGAAGAAAACAATAATAATTGCTAGAAAGTTCTTCCCTAGCACTGAGATCTGGTGTAGCTCAGCTCTCTAGACAGGTTGGGGACTGGGCTATGAACTAGAGTGAGCACAGATTTTAGAGTCAGACAGACCTGGCTCTGCTGTTTTACTAACAGCACGTTCTTATGCAAGTTACCTCCCTGAATTTCAATTTCTCACCCATGAAATGGGGATAGTAGACTACTTTGCAGGACTGCTGGGCAGATTAAATGAGGTAATACATGTAAGGCATCCGGTACAGCACCTGGATATAGTAGATGCTTAAAATCTGATGCCATTTCTGCTACTTCAGCAGCTGCTACTAGCGCTACTACTGCTATGACTGCTGCTAGTATTCTCCTCTACAAAAACAATAACAACTATCACTATTACTGCTACTTTTTTCCTCTAAGCTCTTTCTAGGCCCCAAATCCTGTAATTATCTTTTGTCTTAAGAAAATTTATCCCATTTTCAATCATTTGTAACCTTTGATAAGTGAAAGTATGACAAAACCACAAAAGGGTCTGTTTTGGGTGGATGGTGCCTATGTTTCTTTGATGTCCAGTTCAAAAGAACCACAGAAAGAGAGAAACTATGGGTCCAAAAACCTCTTTAACTACAAACCACATGAGCCACAACTGTAACTCGTAAAGTTAAAAATGATGTTTATTATTTCACTCTCTCCCAGGTAGAGCCAGAGAGGATTTTTTATTTTAAGTCAATGATTACTCTGGGCCTCACAGTTGTTGTTATTGGTTCTGGGCCAGTACTTATCAGCAAGTCTGATTTAAGAATACACCAGAGCAGGGGGAGAGGTTTTTATGTGAATTGATTATTTAGCCACTAGGCCCAAAGCTTATTCCTCTAGCAGTCAGGTTTTTTTTTTTTTTTTTTAAAGGTTAGAAAGATATAGGAAACTTATGGCTGGGGCAGAGGGAGGGAATTCCTCACAGAGTGGCAAATACCCGAAAGAAGTGGCACCTCCTACAACCACTCCTTGGAAGTCAGTTCCGTGCAGACTGGGTTCCAGAGGCTGGGGTGAGGGAGCGGGGAAAAAGCACTTGGAAGTATAAAAGTAACAACTTCTGAACCACGGGTGGTTGTGGAACTTTCTCAGGTATGACTCAAGGTTTCAATTTTAACATACTCGCTGCTGTGCAAGCTGCAGGACTTGACTCAAGCTCTGTCGGCATGGGCTTCTTCAGCCACTGGCACTTCCCAGATCACGCGGCATCAGTACAGTTTCCCAGCTGATGTGCCAAATTGTCTAGTTTGTTCTCGTCTTCAGTTAATTTTAAGCAAACTGCAATAAGTACTTTATGATTTAGAGTTGGGGAAGATTTAAAAATGTACTGCATTAGAACAGTTAGTTAATGAACCTACTTGATGCCTGGATTTATGCCTATGCCAAGTGCTAGGGATCCAAGAGTGAATTAACTCTGAAAGGTTCAGATTCAACCTTGTTTAGGTCTAGGGACCCAGTTTAGTTTTAAACTTCCACTCTAAACTGAACTAAAGTCTCCAGGTTAACTCTAATCCCAATCCATCATTTCAAAGCAGCGCTGCCCAGTGGAACTTTCTGCAATGACAGAACCTATCTCTACAATGATAGAACCTTCTGTCTGCTCTGTCCAATTTGGTAGATATCACATGTGGCTAGTGGCTACCATAATGAACAGTGCTGTTCCAGATAAACAACTGTGCCAAAATTCACTAATGACGTTTTCACCATATACTTGAGCAGACAATTTCAGTCTTCATTTGACTAGAAATCTCTAGTATTTGACTCCGTTGACCATTTCACCCTTGAAAATCTCTCTTCTCTGGGTTTCCATGACACCATGGTTTCATGGCTCTCTTCCCACCTTTCTGTTCCTTCTCATTTTTCTTCTTGGGTTCCCCCCTCTCTGCCTGCCTCTAATATTAGGATTTTTTAGGGCTCAGTCCTTAGTCATTTTCTCTTTTCTATAAACTCTCCCTACGTAATATCATCCATTCGCAACATTTGCTGAGGGCTCAGTATGTAGGCATTCAGTATGCCTCAGTATGTTCTAAGCATTTTATATACATCATCTGACTTAATTATCACTACTTGCATAAAATGTAGGTAGTATTATTATCCTCATTTTACAGGTGAGAAAACAGAAGCTTAGAGAATTCAAGTAACTTGGCCAAGATCACAGCTAATCATGGTGAAGCTCAGATTCAAACACACATAACTGACTCATGACACAAGTGCTTGATGACCACCATCAAGCTAATGATCCTGACTTCTGTATCTACATTTCTCACTGCGTATTTCCACCTGGGTATCTTAAAGGCATTTCAAATTCAAAGTGTCAAAAAGTATAAATGCTTTATCTTCCCACCTATACTTGCTTCTGTTACACTAGTCTCTGTTCTAGTAAGCACCATTCACCAATCCAGAACCATCCACCAATCCTGGGGGTTATCCTAGCCGTTCCTTGTCACTCACTCTGAATCCAACTGATGCCTCTTGAATTCATTACCTCTTCTCCATATCTTGTGTCAGTGACTTGATGTAGGCCTTTTCATACCTTACCTGGACTTCTGCAGTAGTCTCCTTATTGGTCTTCTGGGTTTTTTTTTTTTTTAGTTGAGTAATATTGCTTTAATTCTTATGTCAATCTTTAGCTGTCTACTGGAGGCAGTTGTTTCATTGAATGTATTCAATTTCATACAGTCATTATAATCACATTGAAGAAAGTTTGGAAATCAACATCATCTCAGTACCCACTGTAGATATTTTACTCATTTTTTTCATATGCCTATATCTACACACATAAAGCTTTATCTATTGTCATATAATTGGAACATATGCAATTTTGTACCCTGATGATTTTAACCAATGTATATCATGTGATCCTCCCTAACGTCAGGAAGAACGTCACAATTCACTTTATACTTTCTATGATAATTTTAGAAATTAGTGGATTATGGGTTATGTTTACTTCCTTATTTGGCATTTTCTCTATTTTTCTAATAAAAAAATAAGATAAAACACAATACACTCTTAAAGGTGCTACTAGGATAAATCAAATCAGAACTAAATGAAATATATCCTCTATTTTGATATAAGACCTGCATACATATCTTTTAAATGGTCTATAAAATATTCAAGTGATTGAATATACTAGCTTTTAATCAGTAAGTTCTTGGTTGATGAACATACAAATTGCTTCAATTTTTTCACTACTATACTTACTACTATATTGAAGATGTTTTTTACATAAAAGCATTTGTCTTATTTAGTATAAATTTGAAGTATAAAATCCCAGAGGAAGGATCATTGCATTTGAAAAATTGTGTGTCACTTTTAACGAGTTTCCAAATTAATTTCCAAAAGGGTTGAATCAGTTTACACTGCCATCAGTAATATAAAGTTTTATTGCAACATTTGCCAAAAAAAGGATATGAATAGGGGCCAGCTCGGTGGTGCAAGTGGTTGGGTGCACGCTCTCCACTGCGGCAGCCCGGGGTTCGCCAGTTCGGATCCCGGGCGTGCACCGACACACTGTTTGGCAAGCCATGCTGTGGCAGCATCCCATATAAGGTGGAGGAAGATGGGCACGGATGTTAGCCCAGGGCCAGTCTTCCTCAGCAAAAAAAAAAAGAGGAGGATTGGCAGATGTTAGCACAGGGCTGATCGCCTCACAAAAAAAAAAAAAAGGATATGAATAAACAATTATGGGATATCTCTTTGCCAGTGCCCTTACTTGGTCTTCTAGCTTTTGGTTCCTGCTCCCATCCAGTCCATCCACCATATTGCCAGTTACCTTTCTAAAATGAAAATCTGTCCATAATATGAAAGATTGTCTAAGACCTTTTCATGAACTCCTCACACAAAGCCTTTCATGATATGATCCCTGCCCCTCATTTCTTTGTCTTTTTTTTGTGAGGAAGATTAGCCGTGAGCTAACATCCGATGCCAATCCTCCTCTTTTTGCTGAGGAAGATTGGCCCTAGGCTAACATACGTGCCCATCTTCCTCTGCATTATATGGGACACTGCCACAGGATGGCTTGACAAGCGGTGCGTCCCTCCACGCCTGGGATCCAAACCTGTGAACCCCGGGCTGCTGAAGCGGAGCACACAAACTTAACCACTACACCACCAGGCCGGCCCCTCATTACTTTATGTTCTCCACATTGTACTCTTTATGCCAGCCATACCAAATAATCTGTGCTCTGTAACTAGGCCATGGTTACATCACAAGCCCCTGTACATGCTATTCCTTTTATCCAAAATGCTCTTAGCTTCCTTCTTCTCCTACTGAATTCTTATTCCTCTTCTAAGACTTAGCTAAACTTTCCCCTCCTCCAGGAAGCCTTTCCTCACCTTGTAAGTAGAGCCAACCCTTCCTTCTTTGGTGCCCTCTGTGGCCCCCATTCAAACCTCTATTATAGCCCTTGTATCTCCTACCTATTGGGAACCCCCTGAAAGCAGGGACCAGCCCTTATTCAACCTTGAATCCTTGGTATCTACTCTGTGCCTAGGTAAACTGAACTGAGAACAGAGTAATGCCTGTGGCTATCCAGACCCTGAAGCAGAAATCTTGCATACCACAATCCCACTACTTGTAATATAGTTGTCTTTAATCTTGGAAAGGGACTTTGTAGACCTAGAAAATCAATCCATTGCTGGACATGCTTGATCTCCCTTCACAGATGGTTTTTACTTGAGGCAATTCCAGTAACAGAGATGAAAATGAATGTGACACCATGCCCCACCTGATAGTGATGATCTTCCCCATGTTCAAGTCCAAGTCATTCAACTGTGCAATAAACACAGCTGCCACTGCTTCGTAGAGTGCGCCCCCATCCATGTTGATTGTAGCCCCAACAGGTAACACAAATCTAGTGATCCTCTTGTCTATATGGTTATTTTCTTCAGCACATTGGATAGTGACAGGCAGTGTTGCTGAACTGTGTGATAAGAAGAGAAAGGAACTTATGTCTAGGAATGCTGGTCCTCAATCCTTGCCTGAAGAGACACCTCTGTTCCAAAAACTAAGGCCAGAGCCCAAAGCATGCTGGCACTTTTGGGAGGTCCAGGAATCAGAGGTACTGTGCTTGCCACTGTTCCGAGTTACACCACGGCCCCTTCCTGGGCTGCAGGCCATGCCAAGAAGGCAGGGAATATCCAATAGGGTGAAGAAATATGTTCAAGGACATGGGCATAGAATATGGAGGTCAGTTCTCCAATTAAAGGCAGCTACAAAAACCACAAGCTGTAGGCAGCACTTTATCAAGTGAGGTGAGAGGTGATAAGGCCTGGCCCAGACTTCTTCCAGACACCCCTCTTCTATTTACCTGGAAGAGATCATGAGAGCTGTCAGGAGAGCCTGAGCCATTCCCATGATGAATCGGAAAGGGTTCTTTCGTACGACTATGAAATATATCAATGGGAGGACTACAATGGAGTGGATTGCAAGCCTGTAAACGAGAGAAAGAAACAAGTTCATAACTGATACCACCTATTCATATTAATCTTTTTTTCAAATAGCTTTTTTATTCATGATGTTATCATTCACTTTTCATAATGACTCAATGAGACAACGAGAAGTAGAGCAGGAATATGTCTCCATTCCACATATGAGGATAAGGAGACTCACTCAGCAAATGAAGTGTCTTGTCAAAGTTAGTGGCAAAGCCAGTAGCTGAATCCACATTTCAGACCTCACAGGACAGTTGTGTTATGCTGCCAAGCCCTGTACATGCTATTCCTGCTATACATGCTGAAATGCTTTCACTTCCTTCTACTGCTGAATTCATACTCCTCCTCTAAGACTCAGCAAAACTTCCCCTTCCTCTGGGCAGCCTTCCTAGACTGAGCTGACCCTTCCCTCCTTGGTGACTCTGTGGCCTCATACAAATCTCTATTATAGCCCTTCTCACAACACTCAGCCCCTCTGTTCCTTGGACCATGCTGCTGTCTTGCTGGACGGTGCCCACTGCCTAAGAGGGGAGTCAGGGTGCAGTAAGGAGGAAGAAGTCCCTGCTCTTCCACAGTCATACTTCAGGACTGACCCTCTTTTCTTTGTTATTCCTGCTTTCCAAAACTATTCCTTATTTCACATGCAAATATACAGATTACACAAAACAGAGGGCTTAAGAAATGAGACTGATTCAGCAGATGCCATGTAAGTAGCAACTTAGAGTTTACAGATCAGTTATGTGAAGCTGAAATAATAAGAAATGGTCATTGAAAATACAGATCCTGACGGTCTGGAAAGAAGGTCTTCTGGATAGAGAGCTTGTGGCTAAGAACTATGAGGAACAGACTTTCAGTTTTCTGTCTTTTAGTTATCTAGTTTTCCTAGATAGGGTGAGAGAACAGAAACCAGCAGAACCCCATTATGAAATGGCTCAGCATAATAAACCTCAGCCACATCACTGCCTGGACACAGCCCCTGACCTCTAGTAAAGTAGATGGTCCTTCCTCCCTTACCACTGGGACCCCAGGATTTGACTCTGGCCCTCACACTGCAGGAGACAGGCTTCCCCATCGGCCGTCAGTGCTGTGCTTTTGGTAAACAAAGATTGAGAACCAAATGCTGTGCAGTGGAAACTCCCCAATGCAATCAAGTTTCAATAGGTGAGCTGACTATTCAAGTTGGGTATTTGGGGCATTGACATGTGGGAGTCAAATTGATGATGTTTACTCATTCCCTTAGTTCACAGTTCTTAGAACATGTGATGTATCCTGCCCACAGGAGTGGGGGGGGGCCATCCAGGGGATATCCATAGATATCCAGGGGCACCATTCATAACCTATCCCACCACATCTCCCCTCAAGGAACCAATAACTGAGCTGTAATAAATATGCAAATAATTTGTCTCCTACTGCCTTCCTGTGTTACACAATTCCTACTAGCCTGAAGATTTTCCCAGGTCTCTCTGACACTCTCATGATGCAGGGCATGACGATGGTTATCAGCCCCACCAACAGGGTTGGAACCAATCAGCTCCTACTTGCTTGAGTCTGATTTCATTCAGGCTCTGCCTAATTTCTTTCATGCTCAGGGTAAATGGGGGCTAATCTTACTTGCTTGGTTAGTTAATATTCTTGAGGAAGTGAAGGCCAGGAGAGAGCCAAGAGAGGCTACCAGTGGGTTTTGCTCTTGTTTTAAAAAATTATTTTAACACAACTAATAAAGGCAGTGACAAAGCCTGGTCCAGGCTGTTCTGCCAAGAAGTGGCAATTAGCACAGTGTGATCCACCTCCAGTACAGCTGTTAAAGGGCAGCCCTCCTACCCCTGCTCTCTTATCTCTGAACCCCATCTTTCTCTGCACAGGGGAGAGAAGCCGATTTTAACCAAATGGAACTCAGCCTCTCAGCAGCAATCCATTGGCTCAAATGAGGTTTCTTTTTCTTCTCTTGAGTCTGACATACCCACTCAGGACGGTGACCATGTAAAGGCCCAGCTTGCGGAATACTTCCCAGTCTTCAACTTCTATGATTTTCCCAGCAATCAGGAACAAAATACCAAGCGGCATGTAACTAGAAAGTAAGCACAACAAAGATGTGCTTTCATCAGCTGGAGTTTTCTCAGGGTGGGATTGTTGGGGAAGACACAAGCTGGGGCATGCACCTCGGCTTGGCACGTGCACTCAGCTGGAAGGAGCACAGAGTAAACAATGAAGCTAAGGTCTCAGGTTGAGGCCCTGGTGAACCACACTGGCTCCAGGTTTCAGCACCTGTGTGCACCTGAGCTCTCAGCACCTCTACCCACCTGAGCTACCAAAATGGAACAAACTTGGCAAGAATGAGTGGTTAAACTGATGCAAATCCCACGCCTTGCTCCCAGTACACTTACATCCTGCCAACTGTCACATCTGCAGATCTCACTTTAGCTTGACCCTCAAATATGGCCACTTGGCTCTTTCTAGCTTTGGTCATCTTGTTTCCCAGGTAATAGTATCAGCAGCAGAGCAATAGAATTAGCAGTGGAAGTGGTTGTAATAGCTCTGTTTATGGAGCTCTCATTGCATGCCTTGCATTTGGTTAAGTAGTTTACATGCATTATTTCACTTAATGTACTTCTCCCAACTCTAGGGGGAGACTTTATTATCATTGTTTTGCAGATGATGAAGCTGAGGTTCAGTGGGATTAAGTGACTGAAATAACTGAACCTTTTACATCACTGTCAATGTCTACACTTTGGAGTAAATAATGTTGAACCAACTCAATAGGAGATAAGTTGAGGTAAATGTCTCCTAGGAAAGGTGGACTTTTTGGCATCTTAGGGACAGGGCAGATACTCAAGTGGTGCCACTGGTATGCTCACCCAATGGTAGCTTCCATTTGGATGGGTTAGTGCCCAGGCTGTACCAGTTGTAAATATTTTGAATATCATTTCTGCATGGGGTCTAATAAGGAAAGCCCTTTGTGTTTTGATGTGCAAGGAACTCCTTCAAATCACTCCTTTAAGAGCTACTTCTTACAAGAATGCTGGATGAGTACAAGATGATCAAGGGCTTTGGTACAAAAATCATAGCTGATGTCTAGACTTTTGTTAGTGAACTAACTCCTACGTAATATGTGGAATTATTTAACACTCTAGTGTCTTGATTCAGTGTTCATCCGCTCTAGGGTGAGGTTAGCTGAGAAACATAAGCCTCTTCATTCTAATTTTGAGGGGACAGTCGTCAGAGGAAGCAAGATGGCATTAACCAGCGTTTGCTCACCACATAATGATATGAACGATTTTCATGGTTGCATCATTCAGAGCATTGAAGAAATCCACCAGAATCTGTCCCTTTTCTCCCATTTTCCCAATGACAAGTCCAAAGACGAGGCAAAAGACAATCAGGCCCAGGATATTTGTGCTGTCTGAATATGAGCCTACGATTTCGTATTCCTTTGTTTTGTTCTGTGGATCAAAATCAAGAAAATACATTGATGCATGATTATAATCCTGTTAGAATGTATAGGTCCTGACATGAGAAGGTACACTAGCCAAATATAATAAACTAGTGATCTACCAGTCAATACTCTGGGAAATATAATTTAAAAAAAAACCAAAACACCTATGTACGTATCAACTTTTACTGCCCTACCCTCTGCCACTGAAGTTTAAAGTGCTTTTTTCTCCCCTCTTTCTCTCAACAAATCCATATTTGAATATTTCTTTTGAAGATGTCCTATTCTGAGATGTTTTACATTTTTAATAAGAACTTTAGAATCAAGGCACTTTACAGTGTTATTTTAACTACTAGCTACATTTGGAGTCTGCATAAACAAGATAAGAATTAATAATGCAGGAAGCACAAAATATTTACCAGTACGAACATTTTTTAGGACATTTTCCTATCTTTTTTATCCTGATAATGAAGCACAGGAATATTCTTTACTGCCTCTAATCTGGATGACCAACAGGATTTTAGAGATATAAAAGTTAACCAGATACCTATTACTACGAACCATTTCTTTGCTTTATCCTGGGTAAGAATAGCATGAGATTTATGGAGAGAAAACTTCATCTGAGTGGTGCAGCATTTCATAGGGAGATAATGTAATCTGAGTGGTGCAAACCAGGTTTATAAAGAATTATGTTGACAAGCCACTGGGTTATCAGTCATTTCTTACTTATGACCTGATATGATCAAACACATATTTATCGAGCACCTAGAATGTGCTAACAGCATTGGCTACAACACAAGGTCTTAAAGTGCAGCTGGAGAGAGAAGACTAACCATGAGAAACACGAGCCAATGATAGGCAAGATGGTGTGTAATTAACTGCACAGCCAGGCTGAGTCACAGGCGGCCTATGGAGACTGGGGACATGAATGAAGACTGTGAGGTTAAAGCTAGGCCTGAGCAGTAGGCAGCCAGGAGCTGAAAGCATACTGCAGAAAAATGGTAAGCAAAGGCAAAAGTCATCATGCACCCGGCCTCTGTTATTTCCTACTCATCCTTTGTGGCCCCCAAACTAATTTAAACCTCCTTGTCAAATGCCCCAGAGGACCCTGTTCTTCCCTATTGTGATATTTATCACTCTTCACATAAGGGCAGATGCCACTATTGTATGTGTGGGCAATTTTCACTATTGTAATCCCAATGCCCAGCAGGGCCTGGCACATGGAAGGTGCACAGAAAATCTTTGTGGAACCACGCTGAAAGACAGGAATGAGAAGGAATTGAGGAGGCGGATCTGGATAGAATAGAGGGGCCTACTGAGAAGTAAGCTGGGAAACTGGGGAAGAGCCAGGTCTTGGAGGGCCACTGAACTCAGGGGAGTTAAGGCTTTCTGCAGTAGCAAACAGGGAGCCACTTGTGGTCTATTTTAATTTCAGTTCTTAAGTCTACTAAATATTTCTTTTTTCCTTAAATCTTTCCTTCTTATGTGAAGGCAGAGAACATTCAGGAGAAATCTACAGGACGACAAATATAGTACTTCAGACCCACACATTCTAATCTCCAATGCTGAAATCCCCAAAGCTCTCAAAGCCCAATGATTTTATTGATAAGTTTATGGCAAACTCTTGGTGGCAAAACCTATCCTGAACTGAGATGAGGCTACGTACAGTCTATTTCTCTTACTTGGCAGAATATTCATGACTTTGTTGCAGAAGTATTGATGTGCTTGATTCTACAGTGTTGCTGCCAATCCCATTTAAGGACGTTGCATAACATACAGTATACACCACATGACCCTTCTGAAGTCTGAAAGACTCTGGATTCTGAATCATATCCTGGCAGAGAGTTTCGGATAAGGACCTGTGGGCCTGCATGCCGTGTTTACGTAGCCTTGCAAATCTAAAGTGGTTCCCAGAAGTGCCCAACTCAACTCTAAGGAGTGGCAGAGATGTAGAGGCAACAGGGCTCATTCTTTTCTCTATGCGATACAGTTGATTCTCATTATTCTCGGTAGTTATGTTCTATAAAGTGGCTGCCAACACTGAATTAGTGAATATTTAATCACTGTTCCTAGGGGAAATATAGGATTAAGCTCCTGGGAACCAATGGTCACAATATTTTTGTCAAATAATCAATATATAACCTTGCTTTATGTGTGTTTCTGTTCAAAGACACCTTATTTAATATATATTGTTGAGTCATTAATGTTGAACTCACAACTAACACACTATAACTCATGCCTGAACGAAGCTTATCTAACACACATATATTCTCCTCAAGGCACATTACAGCCTTCTTGTGCTTAGAAGCATTAGATAGCACTTCAGCGCTATGCTTGGGAGACATTTTAAACAGTGAAATCACCAAGAAAAAGCACAAAAATGTGAAAAATGTGGCATAAACACACTGCAAAAAGGATACTTCTTTACAATATGAAAGCTGAAACAGGAAGGCAAAGCATATCGTTGTTCAGCTTCAGCTGGGAATGTGTGTATTATTGGGTGACCTAAATTTTTCTCTGGTTTTTGCGTGTCTGCAAATGACATGAAAGTGTCATGAGTGTTGATTTTGGGGTTACAAACACATTTTGGTGAGTAGGTGAAATTCACACATGCAGGATGAGCGAATAATAAGGATCAGCTGTATTTCCATCACCTGCTTGCTCAAGACTCAGCCTCTGCCAACTGGGGAAGGGGCACAGGCAACAAGGATGGAAACGGTACCTTGGAAATAGCAGTTGTCATGACGACTGTGACAGATGCTTCCGTCACGTTCATCCCTGGTTCACTGGAAGAACTCACTTCTTCACGCGTGGTTTTATACTGCACGTTAGAGGACAGAAAGGACAAAGAAACAAACAAAGGAAAGTTTTTTAAGTGTCTGAGGCTGAATCACAGAAGTACGTTACTTTGGCACAAGTGCCACTGAAGGGTTCTACCTCTGACGCCTCTGTTGACTCCAGGTTTTGACAGTACCTCCCATGAACTTTGGAACCAAAAGTGGGATCAAGAAATCCAAACCCGTGACTCCCACAGACACCATTCAATGATGTCAAAATGTTCCCTCACTTTCATAATAAGGGACAAATTAATGGAGCAATAATGTGAAAGAAAGTATAGGTTTTATTGTAGGTGCTTTAACAGACAGACTCTATATGGATCCAATCAATTATTTTTTTTCTATTTATTTATTTATTCATCTATTATTTTTAACCTGGAAGAAACACCTCATTACTTTGATAAATGTAGTCACCATGACTTTAATAAACATCAAGAACTATATTGTTGTTCCAAAATCAGCCGTCCCTTTAGGGCTATTCCGTGAGTGAGATTTCTGTTGATTGTCCTTCCTTCAGCCCTGTTTGATTCTGCAGAGCTTCAGCAGAGAGGTTTAAGAAAGAGCTAGTATACCATTACACCAGGCATAAATGTCACTCCAACAAGGCGCCGCACACACCAAGACACTTACAAATGATCACTGTGGCTGAGCCGCAAAGGCACCCCTGAAATAGAGGTGGTTCTGTGCCTCTTGGAGATCGGCAGGGAGCAATTTAATTGCCATTTTTGTTGGTATACACAGAGGTCTCTGTTTATGTAATTTATGTAAATGAATTCAGCAGTTTGTGATAGACTCAGCTGTCTTAAAGTGCATAGATAAACGAGAGAAAAGACTTGAAGGAAATGGAGTGAAGAGATTGTTAAACTTTCCTAGAGAAAAAATCACAGCTTGGTTACATTGCTCTGTAGAGTGCCAGCAATGGGGATGTAATGATTAAGGAAAAGACCAAATACCAGGAGCACTAACCACTCATGTGGGTTAGACACTGATTTCCCAACATGAGAGGGAAAGGAGAGGAGATGGAGGGCTACTTTTTTCATCGCATTGCAGCTGCAGGCAGTCTCAGTTTCTTCACAAATATAATGTGGTTCTCCAAAAATAGATACTAGAGGTCACATTTTAAAACACCCATTGTTTGAGAAGTTCCTGACTCGCTCTATTTGAGCCCTTCTGGGGGACAAAAAAGCATAATGGAAAAGCAGTGTAAGCTAAGATATGCAATTCACTGTGGCCAGAAAAATACATAACAGAGCAGTCACCTAAAATTCCTCCATTCACAGGTACATTTCCTGCTATTTTTGATGGGCTAATTTCATTTCTTGTGTCACACCAGGAAAAAAATCTTAATTGGTAATGGGGAGAGGGGAGCATAATTATTACCTGCTGAAAACAGGCTTGAACAAGGTTCTCAGGGAACATATTCCTGTTGGAGACATGAAAAGCAGTATTATGTTAAGGCAAAAGTGTTGTTTTTGGTTATACCCAATACATTAGTGGAAATGAGGATAATATAGAATTAGTACTCTGGTTTCTCTTCTTGTCTCTCCTTCACATAATACTTCCTTGCTCCACTGAGCAACCGATATGCTTGCTGTCCTTGGGGAAACTGTACTGGCATGTGGACACTCACAGTTAAGAGACTTTACTATTCTGCACATTTCTGTTTTCCTTATAAGAATGTATGCTTACTAAGAGTCCATTGCATTTGTTCCCAAAATCTTTGAGCCAATTGCAAATATCACTATAATCATTGAATTAAAATTATGTAAATTAAATATGAGTGTGAGAAGGAAGGTGTGGTTTCTATAAAAACTAAGCTGAATGCCTGGAAACGTAATCAAGGCAAATGACTAAAATTTTTATGGTTAAATTAGGTATTAGAAGACAACTGAAATAAAAAATGGAAGGATTCAGCCCTCAGCTTTCTTTGCAATTTCTAAGGGTTTTGTTGCTCCACTTCGTGGAAACTGAATCTGGAAATTGTAGATGATGCATTTATAAGGGCAGCATATGCAACTAATGATATAAAATTATAATCAACTGACACGCTTAAAGAAAAGATCTTGGCCCTACATCAAAATACTGGCAAATAAATGCATTTAAGTGTTAAGTGTAAACAAAATATAGAATGCATATCTGTATCATTTTTTATGATTCTCCACTTTAATTGTTATTTTTCACTAACTGACCAATTTCTGACCCTGATTGCTTCAGATAAGAGGGTTTCTCCTGTAGAATTAAAAAATGTATTTCTTCAAGTGCGCTTCAGAACTGACTACCCAACCCAGCCTAGGATGTTAATGCAACACGAATAGTTTTTGCATCTCTGTCTATCCTAAATGCTGACAGATGAGCCTGGTCCTTCCATTCTCTCTTGGAACCATGACTTGGCAAGCAGGACTGGCTATGTAATTTGTGGGGTCCAAGGCAAAATGAAAATGCACAATAATTAAAAAATTATTAAAAATTTCAAGATAGTGACAGCGGAGCATTAAACTAAGAATGGCATTCTGTGAAACAACATCGGTTGCAAGCCTATGAAGCCACCCTGCTGGCAAGACACTCACCTGATCAGGTCTAACATGGTATCTACTGTACTGACATCAGAGCTGCTGCCTGTCCTGTCAATTTCATCCATGTTCTGGGTGACACCAGGCTTGATGCTCACCGCCAGCACAAGACCTGTAGCCAACAATAGCACCCACAGAGCATTAAGATAGGGCACCTGGCACCCCTGGTGCATCCTTCTTAGAACCAGCAGGCGTGGTGGTTCCAGGCAATACTGGGAGGGGATCCCAAGGTCCAGCCAAAATGCTGAGCCTCAGCTGGGACCTCAGCACTGCTTTAATTACTTTTCCACTTAAATGAAGCAGAAGGAACTCTTCCTGTGTTTTTTTAAAAAATGAAGAGGCTGCATTCCAGTATTGCTTCTGGAAACACCTGCTGATAAGAATATTCTTTTTCCTTTTCTTTAGCTTATGAGATCAGCCTAGGCAGGGGTTGGGGTGAGGGTGATTCATTTTCTAACTCAGGACACTTGTTGAATATCTTTCTGTAACTTTTACCCACAGATGCAGGTTACTTTCCCGAGGTCATACAGAACAAGCTTTATCTTTTTTCCATACCATAAACATTCAAATATCTGGAAAGCTGTTGTGTAACCCAAAAAAGGGTTAGGGTTGGGAAAAGTCTTTTTCTGTGTGACTCTCAGAGGATAGAATGAGGACAAATAGACAGGAGTTACGGGGAGATAGTTCTTCTAAAGGAAGGGAAGTTCATCTAAAGGAAGAGCGTCTGAAAGCGCCATTCTGGCCTCTGGAGGTAATGGGTTCCTTTCCCTTGAGGTGTCCAAGCAGAGGTGAGAGGCTGTAGAAGAGACCAAGGCATTGAAGGTTGTTTGACTGGAGGGGAGTTAAGAAGAAAAAATGCCCTTTATGGCTTCTCTCAAGGAGAAATGTCGATCCACGGGGGGCAGGACTTCAGGATGCTGAATGGGTTGGTTTTGCTAGTGGGAGAAGTCACTGGGCAACAGAAGGGCCATGAGTGGGAGTGGTCCACTCTTCCCTCTCAGGGTTGCAGAAGAGATACAGGCCCAGCTTTTTTCTTTGTGTCTGCCTCCCTCAGGACACTCGTGAGGAGATGTGGCTTTGGTTTAGGGCAGGGTTCAGGCCCTCCTAGATTCCCTGGTATAATACCACTAAAACCTCACCACATCCTCACCACCTCTTATCAATTCATTAAAGCAAAGCTGCAAGGGTCACGCTGGCTGCAATATCTAAGTACATTCTCTTCCTCTCTTCCTACTCTGGGAGTCCTTCTTAAAATGTCAGGCTAGGTCACAAAGGATGGACCACACTTTCTTCAGAAAAGAATGCCCAAAGTACAAAAGCAGCTATATTCCCTAATTAGAACTTTCTTCCTTTTTCAAATGGGATTTATACTTGGCAAGACTCTATTAGCTGATAGCTCTTGGTACTATGTGAAATTTGAAATGCACTGAAATGCTATCTTTCTGGAAATACTTTGTAATTATACTCAACTCCACTATTATAGACTAATTATTCAGTTTAAGGATTATATAAGCTCTTGGCTTCACTTCCTTCTACCCAATGATCCTGATAAGGCATAGAACTGTCACTCTTTTCTGTTTCTTACTGGAGACATTAATAAGTAGTACCATGGCTAAAATTCAGTCAGTACCATATTTTCTTCAAATAAAAGGTACTATGTAGACTTTAAGCCAAAAACCTTCATGGTAGTTTGACAATACTACTTTCAGATTAAAAAAAAAAATGTGCATTTGAAAAAGCCCAACTACTTTTAAACAAAAAGTCACAATTAAACAGAGGAATAAGGATTCCGAAATAAATTTTACCTAGAATTGCAGCAAGGACAGTGGTACAGAAATAATAGACGATGGCACGCAGACCAATTTTTCCAGATAAATTGGAATCCAGTGCAGCAACACCTGAGAGGGAGAAGTCAAATTACATTATTTTTAAAAGACTGATTTCCAGGACCGGTGGTGATTCAGTTCTTAAGGTGTGAAATAAAGAGCTGAGAGCTGTTCTCTGCATCTGCTGGCCTTGTCTCCCACATTTTGTTTGGATGAGATGCAATGGACAAAAGAAGCACTTCAAAATTCCAAACACAGAATTAAGAGATGGAAGCCTAGTGAGGCACAAGTTCCCCTAGCTAACCCGCATGGCCAGTGGGTGCCATGCCTTTGGCTTCTTGGGGGTGGTCATGAGACACAGTCAGGATGAGTTCCTCTTCTGCATTTACTCTAAAAACTTTATAAAAATTTGTATGTTACATCCCTCAACAGCTGATAACCCCTCTTGGAATTCAGTATCAGGGAAAAGTCTATTTTGAAGAATTGAGATAGTTCTTTCATCACATAATGAACATCGTATAAATCATGATTGTTTCCCTTTCTGCCTTTTCTGGCAGGAAGGTCAGTCTCAACTAAAAAGATAACTTTTACATGTGATTATAAAAGTAATATATGTTCATTATAGTTATCTGAAACAGAGAAAAAATATGAAGATGAAAACAAATATCACTTTATTTCATCAGCCATAGCTAATATTCTGGTGAATTTTCTTCCAATATTTTTTTCTCAATTTTTTGTAAACATAGCTGAGGTAATTTTATAGTTTTTAATCCTCTCTCTTCTTAATATTGTATTATAAACATTTTTTCTTATTGTTACGAATTCACTCTGAGGATAATTTTAATGGCTACAATAATCTTCTGTCATGTGGCTGTACCATAATGTACTTAATCATCTACTTATTGCTGGATCTTTAGATAATCTCAGGGCCAAATTCAATAATAAATCACAGTAATTTCATTATCCATCCTGGCTAGCATATTTCCTTCTTCTTTTCATGATTTTCAAATTGCTTCTATGTTAACAGCCTTATTGTGTATGGCTTTGATTGTGAGGCATCTTAAAATTTTTGTTTTAGGTAGGATATAAATAAAATTCCCAATTTTTAAATTTACAATTTAGGAGACTTATGGCCACATTGTTAGATCTAGTTTCAAATGGTCTTTCGCTGCCGATAAAATGATTGAATGTTGCCTGGGCATGAAAGGTTGTCTAGAATGCTAAGGATAGCTGTAGGGGTAGAAGTCATATACCCCTCCTTGCTAGAAACCCTTGCTTGTATAAATGGAGTCAAATGATCCGGCTCTCTAACTGGACTGCTTCTTTGTGGGACATGGGGCAAGTTGAGAGGCAACCAAAACATTTTCAGCAAGCCGTCATGAGGCGGTTTCAGACTCTACCCTGCCCAGTTTCCAAAAGGAGAATCACATTGAGAGTCAAATGATCCTTACAGAAAACAACTTTTTGAGTCTTCAACACACGTGCCATTTGCAAAGCCTAAAGTACAAGGTAGCAGGGAAAATAAAGAGGTCGTCATGAGGCAACACCAAGGAAAAGGTAGTAAACTGGTAGGCTATCAGCAAGCACAAGTAGCTTTTATATTCACTCCTCACACTATAAAAGGCCTATCCATTTTTTTTAAGTGACTGGGGGATTATGCTCCTCAGATATAATTGTATATATCTGATGTACAGGAAAAGTCTGTAAGGAAGCTATCATCATTATGATGACAGAAACAGTCATTTCTCACTCTAAACACGTCATTCCTCCGACTGTTGATTGCTCCTGTGGAAGTTAATATTTTGAGAGAAGGGGCTCTGGCCTCTTTAGCAGCCACTCCAGGATGTTGTTAAGGGCCCATTCACCAACCTCTGGGGCAAGACTGTGCAATTACCACATGATGGGCATACTGCAACAGTCACATCTTAGAATAACCTTGATGATAGAATCTCTTCTCTTTCTTTTAGAAAAATGCAGTTTGGTGTGCTGAGAAGACTTTCTTTTCCTGATGGTAAGACAATTAAAAATAATAAGTCTGCAAGAAACAGTGGTAACAACAACAATAAAATCAAGAGACACTGAAGGCCACAAATCAGAAACGAATGAACTATGTCATATTTAGTTCAGTTTCTTAAAAAAAAGAGCAAACAACAATGCAAATATGTAAGTTTGCTACGTATATTATATGATTATAAAATGTATCTATTCCATTTTAGAGCTCTGTACATTATTTTGATGAACAATTAAAATAATTATTTATAACAATAATGGTAGGTTAAAAAAAAGAACCAAGAAAATCACCAATTTAACAGAACTCCAAGTAATCTGTATAAGCACTTGTAACTCTGACTCAATAGAGGATGTATTTTCAGATATGTTGTTCTTCGGTAGACGTTCAATTTAAGCAGCTCCCAGCCCCTAAGGTGCTGACAAGTGACAGGTTCACAGGGTGGCTGCAGAACTGTTCTCTGGTATGTGTTTTATGCCCTCTCAGGATTTTCTTCCAGCAGTGAAACAAATTAAATCTATGTGGGTAATTGTTTCCAGCACATGTTAATATGTCTTAATTTGTCTTAATGATTTGGCCATGGGCTGGTGCCTCTGCTTCTATTCCAGGACCCAGCTGGCAATTAAAGGCTTCATAATAATGAGATTCTTGGTGGAAATATCTTAAACAAATACATCCCCAAAGCAGTCAGCCAGCTACTCTCTCCTGGAGTAAAGCAACTATCTTATAGTTAAAGTCATGCCCCCTTATCCACAGGAAATACCTTCCAAGACCCCCAGTGGATGCCTGAAACCGCAGATAGTAACAAACCCTATATATACTATCTTTTTTCCTCTACATACATACATATGATAAAGTTTAATTTATAAATTAGGCACAGTAAGAGACACAACAATAACTAATAATAAAATAGAACAATTATAACAATGTACTGTAATAAAAGTTACTGTAGATCTTAGCAACCTCAGCATACGATTCTTTTCTTTCCTTATTGTCATGAACTTTCACATTTTTACTTAATGGAAGCACTTTGCAGCTTCTCTTTGGCATATCCAAATTGCCAGCATCACTACTCTCATGCTTTGGGCCACTATCAAGTAAAATAAGGGTTACTTGAACACAAGTGCTGCAATACTACGACAGTCGATCTGATAACCAAGATGGCTACTAAGTGACTAATGGGCGGGTAGTGTACACAGTGTGGATATGCTGGACAAAGGGATGATTCACATCCCAGGCCGAATGGCGCGAGATTTCATCACGCTACTCAGAATGGCGTGCAATTTAAAACTTATAAATTGTTTATTTCTGGAATTTTCCGTTTAATATTTTTGGCCCTCGGGTAACTGAAACTGCAGAAAGTGAAACCATGGATAACGCGGGAATTACTGTACTTTTAGAAAGAGCTTTCTTCCCCATTCCTCAAATCTACCTCAATCCTACAATTCTGGATATATCAGAAATGTATTCAAATCCACAAGTGTACTTCTCTACATCTCCAGAATTACCCCTCTACCTCTCCAGTCATCACTGATCAGGGGGAGGGCTGGTCCTCAAATCCAGGCTCTTGGCTGATTTATAATAAGTTGTTGAGGATGGGGTGGGGACCACTGTAGAGGGAGGGAACTTATGCAGGGAAATAGCCTCATCTTTGGAAACCTCTAACGTAGGAACATTACTGAACTTAATATAAATATAAAATGCCTGTCTGGATGGTCTAAACATCCACTTGCCAATAATAATGAGGATGATAATTATAATAAAAATTATGATAATGATGACAATAGACACTGTGTATTGAGCAACGACTGCATGTTAAGTGCATCATCTCCCTGACTTCTCACTATGACCCTATGAGGTAGGCACTATTATCCCCATTTTACAGAGGAGAAAGCTGTAGCTCAGAAAGGCAAAGTAGTATGCCGAGACCCTACACTGGTGAGTGATGGAGCTGGGATACATAGCTACATGTAGCTTGTGGCTACTGCAATGGCCAGCACAAACAGAGAACATCTCAATCATCACAGGAAACTCTATTGGGCAGTGCTGGTCTAGGATTTTGTAGCACATGGATAGAGGCAGAACGACATAGTGGTTAAGAATACGGGGCCGGCCTGGTGGCTTAGCGGTTAAGTGTGCACGCTCCGCTACTGGCGGCCCAGGTTCAGATCCCGGGTGCGCACCGACGCACTGCTTCTCTGGCCATGCTGAGGCTGCGTCCCACATACAGCAACTAGAAGGATGTGCAACTATGACGTGCAACTATCTACTGGGGGGCTTTGGGGAAGAAAAAAAGAAGGAGGAGGATTGGCAATGGATGTTAGCTCAGAGCTGGTCTTCCTCAGCAAAAAGAGGAGGATTTGCACAGATGTTAGCTCTGGGCTGATCTTCCTCACAAAAAAAAAAAAAAAAGAATACGGCCCCCATCCCTTACTGGGGGGAGGTCAGATGGCACACCCACCTTAGTCCCAAACAGGTGAAACATCATCTTGCTTGTACTGGGGTTTTATTCTCAATAGCCACCTGGATTCTCTGCTTTCAGGCCATGCCTCATGTCTGGCAAGGTCCAGACGACTGCCTCTCTTTACAGTCCCACCCCCAGAACTCATTTCTTCTGGGAGCTGATACCTGTCCTCTGGGAACTGACAAATGAGAGGGGACTGTGCATTACAAAGCAGGTGCAACAGGATCTGCATAGAAATCAAAGATAAGTGTTTAAAAGTGTTTATAGCAATTGGACAGTAATTTTACATCTGTTAAATGTAATAAAAAGTAGGGCAGGCATTTTGTATGTCTTCGTTCTTTATATCTTTTTTTAGTAATTCATTTTTATTATAGCTTACAAAGATTATTGATCTGTGATTGGAAATTTTAAAAACTGGATCTTTCCCAACCAGTTTAAAAACTGGATGCTTTGCAAAGCACTGGTGCAGAGGACAGGTACCATGGGCTTGCAGAGGAGCCAGAATTGTCACCAGGCTGAGGTGACCAGAAGTAACTTGCAGCAGGTAGCACCTGAATTGGCCAGGACAAGATGAGCAGGATTCTGACAAAGATTCTTTGC